AAATATAACATATTATGGAGATCACAAAAATACACTGTCAATGTTAATAAACAAAAAACAAGGCAATGTGCCTGCAAGACTACACGCAGGTAAACAAAACATATTACCCGTGCGCAGCAGCTAACCTGCCTGCGAGCCTTCGCTCAGGTCACATTTACCCAGGCGCGGCTGAAGCCCGCGAAAATGGCATCTATTGTTGCCGACAGTTTAGTATTTTTAAAATACCGTTACTATGTCAAACATGCTCAAAACTTTCTGACACACTCTCCTAAACATCTCCAACATCATATCTAATTCACACAAGTTAACATCGATCATTTTCATCATGTACTGACCTGTAGAAAACAGAAAAGTGCAGCAGCAATAATTATACACAGGATCCGGTTGATCGTCTGGATTGCTTCTGACTGGAGGGGCGGAAGTGTCCCCCCTAAGATAACCCAGATGTCACGCTCACCTGCCAAAGGTTCCACCTTGGCGCTACTTACTCGTACTGCTTCTCAAACAGTACAGATAAACCATAAAATGATATGAATGTCACCAAAATAAATACAGATAATGTTCAGTTTCAAATGCACTATTGTTTTATTTTAAGATTAAAAGTTTTAAAAAATAAAGAAATGTTCAAATAGTAGATGAATATTCAAGAGGTCTTTAAAATCATCACACTGATCATCAAAAGTTCATAAAATGCTCATGAATATTCAAACATATTCTGAACTTGCCACAATCATCCAAAATTCATGAAAAGTTCATGAAATGCTCATGCAAACTTTTTTGGGTTTTAATTATAATTTTGTGATTGGCTGGATCATGAAAAGTTCATAAATTGCTCATAAAAGTCTGTCATGAGCAAAACAGGAACTTTATATGTATGAACAATGTTCATAAAAATTTCATGAACTGCTCTTTAAAATGGTTCATGAGCATTTTAAGAATTTTGGTTCATGAACATGACAAGTGAACATATAATGAGTTGTTCATGAATGTTTCATGAGTGCTCATGAACAGCTCATAAAGTCATGAACTCCATCTCGCAGGGGCAGGATGCACTCTCTCGTGGACATTTGCTTTATGTCATTCCCGATCCCATTCCCCCTCTTTTCCTGTAACCTTAACACTGCTGGCTCTGAAATCAAGGCACAAAAGGCCCCTGAGAAAGTACTTTAAGAAAAACACGAATGAATGAAAATTAATTTCATGTTTAATTAGTTCTCCTGCCGAGAAAATTACATTAATTAAGCACTAATTTAAACTGTAAATGAGCCAACGTTGTAGGAAAGACTTTCCCATATTTAGTTCTGACAGTTTTACTGACATGATGTTACATTATTTCTGCATCATGAAGTCTTTTACACTTTGAACACATCTGTTACTTGCACAATTGGCTGCCAATGTGCAGAGTTGCAAAGTGCAGCGATTATCTTTATCATTAGAGGCGAGAAATCGACTTAAAATGCATCATTATTAGTCCATAGTTAGCATAATCCATGTCTCTTTAACAAAGCCCTTTTTAAAAACATGTAACAAGAGCAGTTCAAGTGTCATTGGGACATCCAGCCGCTTCTACACTAATGTCTTGAAACTGAATATAAATGTCCTACCGGCCCTAAAACAAGCTTTCATCACACACACACTCCCATATTTACATCTGAAATTAAACTAAATCCACTGATGTGAATTCATTTACATGCCAAACATTCATTAAATAGCCTAAATATTGCTCATTAATGCGTGTCAAGAGATGTTCTCGTTTGTGAAATGGAATGGAGATTTTAAAGCTGTAAAGTAGAATCATTTTAAATAATACACACCCCATTTATTCTTCGCCTAATTTGCCTTGACAGAAGTATCACACCACCCTGTCTTTAGTTTTGTTATGAAATGCCCAGGGGAAATTGTGGTGTCAGGTTTTGACACTGGTAGGAAATCTTCTCCAATATAAAGAATCATTATGGAAGTGACGAAAGGTGATTGGAAAAAAAAGGCAGGTAAAAACAAACAGAACCTCTCGATGCATTCGGCATCACACAGGTGTCGGAGGGGGTCACAGACACAAAGCCTTGGATATAGAAACCGAGGAGAACGTCAGAGAAAGCCTTTTCCAGGAGAGATCCAGGGAGGCAGAGGTTGAATATTTCTCTTCACATTTCTTTCCTCGGCTGTCTGAGGATACTGCAGTGTTTCGCCTCGTTGACTCGTTAACGATGTGGTAAAGACACGTATGAAACCAGTTAGATGAGGCAGAAACATGGCAGCGAAGAAACATCCGAATCATGTTTTGCATGATGCGAAGCCAAAAAGCAGGCTCATTTGAATATTTGTTTGCCGCATGATTAGTTTCGCGTCCACAAAACCCAGCTGCGATTGGTTTTCTACTCCAATAACACTGAGAGGAGGAGACAAATAGAGACTTCAGAAGAAGAGTCTTTTGTGATGATCTGTTCACGCGTCATCTTGTATTTGATTATCTGGCTGTCTGTGTTGCCACTCGTTGCATCGTTGATGAATGAATTTGGAGCCAAACACTTAAGATACATGTTTGTATATATCTGAGACCTATTATATATTGATGAAAACCAGTATAATAGGAGACCTTTAATGTCTGAACTTTATAGGGGCTTGTAGGTGAAATATCCATCCATCCATCTTCTCCCGCTTATCCGTGGTCGGGTCGCGGGGGTAGCAGTTCCAGCAGAGAGCCCCAAACTTTCTTTTCCCTGGCGACATCAACCAGCTCTGACTGGGGGATCCCAAGGCGCTCCCAGGCCAGCGAAGAGATATAATCCCTCCACCTGGTCCTGGCTCTACCCCTTGGTCTCTTCCCAGCTGGACGTGCCTGGAACACCTCAACTGGCTCCTTTCGACGCGAAGGAGGAGCGGCTCAACTCCGAGTCCCTCCCTGATGACCGAACTTCTCACCTTATCCCTAAGGGAGACGCCAGCCACCCTGCGGAGAAAACCCATCTCGGCCGCTTGTATCCGCGATCTTGTTCTTTCGGTCATGACCATAGGTGGAATATGATAGTTTTAAATAGAGCCATGCTAGCTGTTTCCCCCTGTATCGTATCGTTATGCTAATCTAAGCTAAACAGATGCTAATAGCTTCGTATTTAACGTACAGACGGCAGCTAAATGGGTTGCATTAACAGCAGTACAGTAGCATTGCAGACAATGGCAGTTACATCAGTAGTAGTAAGCTCTGTACTGTAGCAGTACAAAAACAACTACTATCCGTCATGCTATGTTAGCTGACAAGCATGTGAGAATTGCACTCTCTTTTTCATTAGCCAGCGAGAGCAGCAGATAATCAGGCAAACTGCAGGGAAACTGGGACAAACCCGAACTAAAATAACATGGCGCAGTATTAATCACTTTTCTTGACCTCATATTTAACTTGCATTGACTATATTTAACCTTGTTTAACAATGGAGCGAGCCTGTTGAGATTAAAGCTGTTTTTTTCCAAGGAGACCTGAAAGAAAGCAGCATCGTGTCCGGCATACAGATGCAGAGCAAAACAGGTCATTAGCACAAGCAGGAGTTCATAAGTAGAGAACATTTTGAGAACCACACAGATCCAAGTACTTTCTCATGTATGGTTGTTCATACAAATACACAAAGACTGCAGCTGATACACATAGTAAAGATTATAAACTCAAATGAGATTTCTGGCTCTGGTGATAGATCTGGCCTTGATCGTGAATTGTTTTTTTTTCAACCACTTCACCCAGTAGAGCTGTTTGGAGGTTTTGCAACCACAAACTAGAACTCATTTCAGGATAAATACGTTTCAATACTAATAAGACCTTGACTCTCTTCCTCCCTGTCTCCCTGCAGGTATAAAAGACCTTCGGATCGACTCTTTGAAAGCCAGCTGAGTCTCTGCAGACACTCTTTCCATCTCAACCTTAAAAACACACACATACTGCAAACAGATTCCTATCAGGACGATAATTGAACTGGATATTGGATATTTCATGTCACCCATCACTGATATGATAGAAGTTGCTGCCTTTATTTGACCAAGAAATCAAACCACCTTATTTGAGGATATTTATATCATCGCCAACCAGAACAATAATTTCAGTTTGGTTGTGGGGAACTTAAGGAAACAGCTTCAGTAATGCTGTAAAATCAACAAAAATCTGGTGCAGTTTTACCTTCAGATCGCCTTTCCAACCCACGGAGAATTTGAGTTATTCATGGTGGTAGACGTGTTGGTCTTGTCAATACTACACATTTGCAGAAAAACATTTCAACATGTAACCTTCAAACCTAAAAATGTTTACTTTTAAAATCAATGCAATTTGAACCCTTTTGAAAAATGTTCCCTTCACAAAAGGATTGCACGGCTTTTGCTGCTATTAGCTTTGTTCGTTATTCTCGCGTCCAGGAGAGAAGCTTAGGATAAATGAGACCAATGGAGTCTCTGGCATAATGTTCAAATGGGTACTTTAATTAAAATGGCGCGGTAATGTTAAAAGCAGAGTGTGATGCCCCTGCGGGTGCATCAGTAGATAGGGTGTGGCTGTTCTGTCTGTGCTGCATTGGCTCCAGTGATTGCACTGATTGCAGTAACTCAGGGCACCTGGGTCTGGTGCTCTGCAGCTATCTTAAAGCCTCTCTGCTCCTGTCTGCTCTCTCGCTCTGTTTTCCTGCAGGTACCCGGCTCTGATGAGTATAAATGTGTTGAATTGACCAGTGTTGTGCAAATAAACACCTTTACCTACCCGTTGACATGTTGTGTCTCCTTTTTGTTGTGGCCTTTTGAGCCAGGTCGCAACAAATGGGGGCTCGTCCAACGGGTTATTTATTTAAAAAGTTTGTGTAGTGCTCATTGAGCAGCTGATTCATTGTTGTGGTCCAGCTGTGTGCTGGCTCTGCGCTGCTATTTGGGGGACACATCATGTCTTTTGGGTTTCAGGATGCTTTAGTGTGTGACATGGCATCAGGGTTTGTGTGCCAATCAGAAGGTAAGATATTGCTGTTGGTTACGCTTTTGTAAAAGAGATTTTCCCCGCTAGGCTTAAGTGGCGTTTCCCCTTGGGTTCCGTCTGTTTGTTTTTTTCATAGTGTTGTGGCGACGTGGTTGGTGTCAGCTGTTTTCGGACAGCTGTCTCGGGGGCACATCCGCGTGATTTCTTGGTGTTACCTGCGTGCAGGTCGCTCCATAAATCCGCCGGGTTCCAGTGCGTAATTACCCGCCGCAAGCCACATGAAGACTAGGTGAGATTAGGAAGATTTTGGTAAGGCAGTTAGGGGGGAATTCTCTGTTGGGTTTTGTCTTTTCGCCCAGGCGTGTTGACAGTTGAGTACTTTGCTTTCTGATTGGGTATAGGCAATATATTATGGCTTCTTTGTCAGCGTTTGTGGATGCGCCCTCAGTATCTTTCTTGGATGGTTGCCAGAAGGCGCAGTTGATCGAAATAGCAGAGCATTATGAAATTGCTGTTGTAGGGAGCAAGCGGAAAGATGACATTAAAGCTGTCATCGTGTCATCTTTGTTTGAGCGGGGAGTGTTACAGAAGAGTGAGTCTGGTGTGGCAGGGGTCGGGCCAGTAGTGGTTCAGACAGCTGGTTTGACATTCGAACAGCAAAAGGAGCTTTTGGCCATGCAGTTTAATCAGGAGAGATTGCAGTTGGAGATGAAATTGGAGCAGGAGAGATTGCAGTTGGAGTTGAAGTTGGAGCAGGAGAAGTTGCAGTTGGAAATGAGGGGTCAGCAGCAGGAGGTAGAGAAGCGTTTAGAGGTGGAGAAGATGCTGGAGGTGGAAAAGATGAAATGTGAGGTGGAACATGCTAGATTACGGCTGATGGGAGAGGGCAAGTTTTCTCCAGGGGAGGATGGTGGTGATAGGTCGGCATCAGGCAGTGGCGATATCATTTCTTACTTGCGATTAGTGCCAAAGTTCAATGAGCGTGACCCGGACATTTTTTTCACTCTATTTGAACACATAGCAGAGGCAAGAAACTGGTCAGATTCGGACAGAGTGCTGTTACTTCAGTGTGTACTCACGGGGCGAGCACAGGAAGCCTATTCAGCTATTTGTGGCGAAAATACTTTGGACTATGATAGAGTAAAATCAGCGGTGTTGAAATCTTACGAACTGGTTCCTGAAGCGTATCGTCAAAGGTTCAGAAGTGGGGTCAAGGGAGATAAGCAGACACATGTGGAGTTTATCCGTGATTTAACTTCTCATTTTCAGCGGTGGTGCGCGGCAGCAAAGGTTGCAAGTTTTGACGGTCTTTGTGAGCTCATTGTCTTGGAACAATTTAAAAACATTCTCCCTCAGCGTGTGGCCACATATGTGAATGAACAGAAACCTCCCACCGCGTTTAGAGCTGCTAAATTAGCGGACGATTTTGTGTTGACACATAAGGGCAGTTTTGCGGAGAAATATTCTAGGGGTGATTGGAAACGTGGAGAAGACAATGGAGATGCCCGTGCAAAGTTTTCACCAGGCTCCTCCCGTAGATTTGCAGGTACAGGGCGACCCGAGGGGGCCAAAGTGGACCAATGTCACTATTGCAAAGGTGGGGGTCATTGGAAGGAGCAGTGTCCATTGCTGGAAACGAAGGGGAAGCCTCGTTTGTCACCACATGCTCCAGCCATGTGTTGTTCTGCCGTGTTGGTTAAAAAGCCACAGGGTGTAGGATCGGGCATGGTGCCTGATAAGAAGCTGGTTTGTGCCGACTTGGATGTGGGTTCTGTTTTTGGGCCGTTCATAACGGAAGCCGTTGTGTCAATAGTTGGTAGTGACAAGTATGATTAAGGTGTTGCGTGACACAGCAGCTAGATACTCATTTATTGTTGAGTCAGTGTTGCCTTTTTCGTCAGAGACAGAGACGGGGGATTTTGTGCTGATGAGGGGCATGGAGATGGGCTTGATTCCTGTGCGACGTCATACAGTAGTGCTGGATTGTGAGCTGGTACGGGGAGTTGTGTCTATCGGCGTGCGTCCCGCATTGCCACTTGATGGGGTACAGATGATTTTGGGCAACGATCTTGCTGGTTGTGTGGTGTGCAGGGGCGAACTGGCCATCTGTAGAATCTGGAGAACCACAGAACGGCCGGTCGTCAAGGGCTGTTGACGGCCGGCCGGCCCTTTAAAAAAATGTGTTTAACGTCATCTTTTAAGTTGCGCTGACGGCCGACAGAGGGCGAAAGCGGCCGCTAATGCAGTTGTGTGGTTCTTATCTGTCCAATAATCACACACGAAGAAGAAAAAAGACCGGCCACACGAAGAGAAGGGATTAGATGCCGCGGCAGACCCATGCGGCAGACAGGGAGATTGAAAAAACATGGATACAAATCAAAGAAAACGGTGGGGTTCTTATTATACATCCATGGGCGAGAAGGCAAGAGGAAAAATGGTGAAGTCACTCGCAGGTGAAGCATATAAATGTCGCAAATTGACAGATCTTTTTGGCAGCAGCGCTGCTACGAGCACTATCATCAGCAGCTTAGAACAAGTGCAAGATGATGAAGAAAATGATGATGAGGGCGCAAGTTCAGATATACAGCCAGTCTCCTGCGTTCATGATGAGGGACAGAGAGTTGAGCTGGTGGAAGAACCAGCTCAACTGGCACATACAAGAGCATGGGCAAGAGGTGGGTGAGAAGTATCCCTTGAACTGCATTAATGCATCCTAATAAACAGCTGATTTCTAATAACTAGGCTAATTACAAATAGTACTGTATGTTTGTGTGTTTACGATGTCCCATGTGTTTAAGACATCTGAGGAGTGTCTGCCCTCTTTAGGTGAGAATTATCCCTTGAACTGCATAAATAGTAGGCTATTGTAATTTTTTGTTCTGATGCCACCGCCCCCCACCCCCCGAATGTGGCCGGTCTGGGTCAGATTCCAGGGCTGAATTTTAGTCCCAGTCCGCCCCTGGTGGTGTGGGCAGGTGTGCCACCGCCTGTGGTGGTTTCCAGACCGTTGGCATCTGTAGAGCCAGATAAGAGTGGTTTGCAATTTCCAAGTGTGTCTCCTTTTTATACTATTACGCGTGTGCAGAGCCGTAGGATGTCTACTGACCTACCTGTTTCGGAGTCTGGAAAAAGTGGCCCAACACGGTCCTTTGACTTTCAGATCGAGACAAAGGTAAAGGAGAAGAAAGAGAGGAAACGCCGCAAAGCGAAAGAAGAGGAGGCCGAAGGAGGTCAGCGCGCCCAAGAGGCCGATGAGCGCCTACATGCTGTGGCTCAACGCCAGCCAACCCAAGGAGGAGTGGGACATAAAGGCAGTGGAATCGAAGAAGCAGTACGAAATCGCAAGGCAAGAGCTCGAAGACAGAGGCGGAGGAGGAGCGTCCTCCAGTCCTAAGATGGAAAGTAAAAAGCTGGAGTTAAGAAGAAGGATGTTGGGTTGTCGTGGACCCCTTTGGGGCCCCGTCTTAAGGGGGGGGCTGTGATGCCCCTGCGGGTGCATCAGTAGATAGGGTGTGGCTGTTCTGTCTGTGCTGCATTGGCTCCAGTGATTGCACCGATTGCAGTAACTCAGGGCACCTGGGTCTGGTGCTCTGCAGCTATTTTAAAGCCTCTCTGCTCCTGTCTGCTCTCTCGCTCTGTTTTCCTGCAGGCACCCGGCTCTGATGAGTATAAATGTGTTGAATTGACCAGTGTTGTGCAAATAAACACCTTTACCTACCCGTTGACATGTTGTGTCTCCTTTTTGTTGTGGCCTTTTGAGCCAGGTCGCAACACAGAGATATGGTTCAGAGAGAGAAAGAGAGGGGGAAGCTGCAGTTCCCTCTCGCAGTCGCGGCCATGAAGAAATAAGGCTTGTTTGAGACGAACTGCGGCTCGCCTAGAAAGTAGACGAGAATAGCCGATCGCAGCCGGGGGAGGTCTCAAAAAGCTCGCCTGAAGTCGGACAGCTCGGAGTCGGCTTCTTCTTCTCTCGGTTTTTGGGCGGATTGCAAACAACTTTAAGGTGCATAGCGCCACCTCCGGAGTCGGCTTGACTCGGTTTGCATTTATAAAGAATGCACACATGTGTTTAATCGTTAATGTCAGATATGTACTAAGTAAATACATTTGTTCCTGCTCAAGATTAGATTCAACTTTATTTATTATTGCACAGATTACAGGTACTGAGACAACGAAATGCAGTTTATCTTCTAACCAGGTGCAACAAGCAGTAAAGTGAAAAGTAATGTACACAATATAGAATGAATTGAATGATGAACAAACAGTGAGGGGTATGAATACACTAGATATCAGCCTGTGAGCAGTATGAACAGTGTGTATGAATATGCTAAGACAGGGGCACTCAAATACAAATCTTAAAGGTCCAAAAAACGTTTTTCAATAAGACAAAGGTCCGTTCATTACAGTCATTTAAACCTTTAAACAATTGCAACAAGATTCTTAACACGAGGTTGCAAAAACAAAAATAATCTGTATGCAGCAGTTTTCATTGTTATTGTGTCTGTGCTTGACCCCTCAGAGTCGCAGAGCTGCACAGTTATGAATAAAGGCAGCTGCACCCTCTTTCATTCAGCATTCCCATTATTGCTTTATAAATGTATTGCCCCTTGTGTGTCCACTGAGGTTCGTCAGGCCCAACACATCTTCAACAAACTCCCCCTTTGCCTCATCATAACAACTCACAAACACCAGCAACTGAGCATTGTCAGTGGTGTCAGTGGACTCACCCACAGCTAAGGAAATGCACTGTGCATTTTCTATTCCATCACAAAGCTGATTAATCAAATCACCAGCCAGTATTTATGTTCTTCTGGTTGCTGTGGAATCTGAGAGGGAGATTTGCTTGATTTGACCTGTTATTTCCTCTTTGTGTTTGCCTTCAACATGGTCTCCATCACTTCAGTCATGCATTCTTTTATACTGCAGTTATTATCCAGTGGAAAGTCCTTACCTACTCGCCTAGTTCAATCAAAGTGGTTACTTTTTTTTGGCTGGGCAGTGTAGTTTTACACACCGTCTTATTTGACTTTCTCAGGACTTAAAACAGTTTTTTGGGGGCAGACCCCCTCAAAGAAAAAAATATATTTACACACGTAAGGTCATCATCTTAATAGTTTTGTATGCTCATCCGTGAGCAGAGCATCAAGTCTATTACAGCTGAATGCGGTGATTGCCATCTTGTTCAGCAAAACGCCTCACAAACTTATTAAGATCAAAGCTTTAGTGCGTTTTGATTCAATGCTGAGTACAGCCGCAAATACCTCATTCCTTCAGTACTTGGGTTTGAATGCTTCTCGTTTTGCACCGTCCCGTTGAAATGAAATCGCTGCCAATCATATTTCCACGCTCGCGCTAGGGCCGAGGGAGGGGTTACAAGACGTGCATCTTGTGCTGCATTCACTTGCACTCGGACATTAGAGACTTTCTCTCATAAATGTCCGATGAGCCACAACTTTTCTTTCAAAACAAAGCTGCCAACTGGGGTGGCAGCTGGGGTGGCAAGGCCTATTTTTAGGGTGGTAGTTGCCACCCTGGTAGGTGAAACTATAGGCTACTAGCTACAGTACAGATGCAACTAGATGAGCTGTTAACTCTCGCTCTGACTTTTTTTTTTTTTAAACTCTCGCTCTGACTCAGACAGGTTGAAAGAGACGATACACCCTACTGTGCCTCTGATTCGCAGACTGTTGGTGATGTGATTGGACCAATGCGTTGACAGACACACAAAGACGTTAGGCTTGTTTGAGACGCGTTGCGGCTCGCCTCGAAAGTAGACGAGAGTAGCCGATCGCAGCCGGGGGAGGTCTCAAAAAGCTCGCCTGAAGTCGGACAGCTCGGAGTCGGCTTCGTCTTCTTCTTCTTCTTCTTCTTCTTCTTCTTCTTCTTCTTCTTCTTCTTCTTCTCTCGGTTTTTTGGCGGATTGCAAACAACTTTGAGGTGCATACTGCCGCCTCCGGAGTCGGCTTGACTCGGTTTGCATTTATAAAGAATGCACACATGTGTTTAATCGTTAATGTCAGATATGTACTAAGTAAATACATTTGTTCCTGCTCAAGATTAGATTCAACTTTATTGTTATTGCACATATTACAGGTACTGAGACAACGAAATGCAGTTTAGCTTCTAGCCAGGAGTGCAACAAGCAGTAAAGTGAAAAGTAATGTACACAATCTACAGAATAAAATATAGAATGAATTGAATGATGAATAAACAGTGAGGGGTATGAATACACTAGATATACACAGCAGCCTGAGAGCAGTATGAACAGTGTGTATGAATATGCTAAGATATATAAAGTATGAAAACGGTAAGCAGTGCAAGTATAGTATCAAATATATGGATATTAATTTAATGATGATAAACATTGTGGAACAATGATGAAAAATGGGAATGGATGTGGCGACGTAAAACTCACACAAAATAACAACAAACTTTTGCCAGCCAATTGGAGAGTTTCATCAGCAGCACGTGGTGAAAACCACCAATGAGCGCTCAGCTCGAGATACCAGCGAGTCGTTTCCCATCAAGCATTTCGCTTCCGCAGCCCGTGGAGAGGAACTGCGCCCCAAGTCTGCGGGCGTCTTTGTCCCGCGAGATTTCAACGTCTAATGAAGGCGAGCCTCCAGAGCAGGGGTGGCCAACCAGTAGGGATGGGTATCGTTTGAAATTTATCGATTCCGATTTCGATTCCGGTTCTGCTTATCGATTCCGGTTCTTATCGATTCCCCGTTTCGATTCCAAAATTGTAAAATAAAGAGGTCAAACGTTTAGATAACAAAAATATATTTATTCTTAAAAGCTTTAACTGAAATTGTTACTAAAAAATATACATGCAA